ATTATAGGAGATTGAGGGCCTAATTTATTATTATTATTACTATTATTATTTTATTTTTACTTTACTTCTCTTTTGGCTTAGGAACTATGATCTAAGAGGCTAGATTGCAGTTGGTTTGCATGTTGTGGCAGCCTTGACAAAGGCTTGAGATTTGCCATATGCATGTAGGTATAGAGTGTTGCAGTGGGCAAAGGCATGCATTGGCATGCTTGGGCTGAATCCCTCTAGGAACACTTGTGGCAACAAGCAAGGGCATGCATTGGCAAAGGCTTTGACAGCAAGCAAAGGCATGCATCGGCAAAGGCTTTGATTTTTTTTATTTTTTATTTTTTATTTTTTATTTTTTATTTTTTTGTACAAACTAAAAAACAATTGAATATATATAAAACCTAGCCACTAGATATTTTGCTCCCTACTGTTTTCTAACTATTATTATTATTATTACTATTATTATTTTATTTTTACTTTACTTCTCTTTTGGCTTAGGAACTATGATCTAAGAGGCTAGATTGCAATTGGTTTGCATGTTGTGGCAGCCTTGACAAAGGCTTGAGATTTGCCATATGCATGTAGGTATGGAGTGTTGCAGTGGGCAAAGGCATGCATTGGCATGCTTGGGCTGAATCCCTCTAGGAACACTTGTGGCAACAAGCAAGGGCATGCATTGGCAACACTTATGGCAGCAAGCAAAGGCATGCATCGGCAAAGGCTTTGATTTTTTTTATTTTTTATTTTTTTGTACAAACTAAAAATCAATTGAATATATATAAAACCTAGCCACTAGATATTTTGCTCCCTACTGTTTTCTAACTAACTTAGTTATTATTTGTTTAACTCATTTAGTTTCCACAATTGTATTTAGATACAAAAATTTAATCACATAAATAAATTTATTTAAAGGATTTTAATATTGATATTAATCGTGATGTTATTATCATTATAATTTTATAGTTTAATAATCACTATTAATTGACTTAATATTATAATATTATTATATGTAACTAAAAGATTTGAGATTGAACCAATTAATCTCCATGGGTTAATTTTCTTGCACACAAATTATTAATGCAAAACTTTATACAGAACAATTATACAAAATAATATATTTCAAGAATTAGATTTGTGTAGTCATAAAAGTGACGACGATGACGATGACGATGACGATGACGACAACAACAATAATAATAATACTATGAAGATAAAAATTACACTAATTAAATAATTAAAAGTTAATTATAGAATTTCGTCACAAAATGTTGTTATGGAATTGGATTATGGCTGTTGATTACAAAATTTAAGTAGCTAATTATAATTACCAAAATAATTTAATATGCAAAAATACGGGTTCTGACAACGCAGCCTAAGTACAAACTTGAGCCAAGCGCAACTAAGGAGGATGACCAAATTGAATCAATGCACTGAACCAACCATAAGAGTGTTCGGTACGATTCAATCACGCAAATTAACTAGTATCTAATACATGGAAAGAGCGCATGATTTTCCGTATAGCGATTCCGGTTTTTGACCTGTCATCTATTGTATTCCGGGCTCAGGTTTAATGTTTCCATATTATTGTTTACCTCTTATTCCCCTTGTATCCCTTTGGAATTGGCTTTCAGGTTGTGGTTGTGCGTTCGGAACATGTTGGTTGTGTTTCTTTTTCAAACCTGTGATGCCCAGATTTTGGCCTCCCCGCTCGAACAGGAATTCTTGCACTTGAGCGGGCTTCACAAATTTTGCCTCTACGCTCGAGCGGGATTTGTCAACTTTCAGTATTTATTTTATAGTTCTGAAAATATTGAAAAGTGTTTTGGGTGCTCGAGCGTCCAGTCCCACGGTCGAGCGGGGACCTTCGTCTACAGAACTTCTGGAAACATGTATTTTATGCTCGAGCGCCAACTTTCACACTCGAGCGGAACTGTGTGTCTGACGCTCGAGCGGGGCTTTCCACGCTCAAGCGGACTGCGTGTATTTTAGTCCGAGAAGATAATATTTTGAGTCACTTTTTTTTCTCTCTCTCTCTCTCTTAAACTTTCTAAAAAGCTTGTTCTTGAGCTTCTCTCTTTAGAAATAACCTTCTCTCTTGGATTTCATCTAGATCCATCCATCCTTTCACCCTAGTACCTTTGAGAAAAAGGTAGAGCTCGTCAAGATCTACATTTTGATCCGAATAGAAGTAGGTTTCGACATTATTGGAGTTTCTATTTTGTTTGGGTCATCTTCTTCCTTTGAGGTAGGGACTCTTTCTACACTTTCATATGATATTTAGCTTAGATATTGTCTCTTGTGTAACAATGGTGTGATTTGGAGATATTTTAAACAAACCTAGGATTTGAGCACAAAGTGAAAAGAGGGGTTTTGGGGTGTAGATGAAATAAATGCTTGTGGGGTTGAAAATGATATTGTGTTATGTTTAATTTGATGATTTTGGCACTTGGCTAATATTTGGGGAAAATGGGAAAATTGCCCTAATTTGATCAAATTATTATGTTGCGCAAATAATTAGAATTGACATTGAATATGTGAAATTGAGAGAGTATTGATATAAATGATGGGATTGGTTATGTATTAACTCATTCTTTTGAAAGTTTTGAATAAACTATATGTTTGAGATTGAATATCTATCTAGAGATAACTGTATTGGGTTATCGGTGGCGAATAGCTTTGACTGTTATAAAAATTGCATGTGGATTAGGTAAATTGAAACTAATCCTTGATGGTTGTCATTGAATATGACCATGTTTATATACATTGCATATGTATGGATGATTGTTTAGGAGGAGAAAAGGGGTTGGACTCCACAATAATTAAGTTGGCCGGAGTGTCTTGGGTGAAATTCCGGAAACTATACATGGGTGCTTAGCCCGCGGACGAAATATCCGTAAAATGGCAATGATAGTACTTGTGAAGCCTACATTTACATAGATCCCGTTTGACGACTGCCCACAGATGAAATTTCCGTGAATGAGAAGTTTGAAGTGTTTGTGCATTGTTGATGTGATTGTAGAACTTATTAGTTGAAATTTCATTTGAATTGTTAAAAGATGATGAAACCGGTTCATGAAATGAAATAAAATGAATGGAAATTGGTACTTTATAACTATATAAACTGTGGGTATCTCTATCACTGACATTGTGTATGCATAGTGTACTTATACCTTTGCTAAGTTTCATATATTGTGCTAGATGATTTCTATTGGGCTGTGGCTCACCCTATTTGGGAATAACATTTTCAGGTGTTGGTGACTTACCTCCACCAAAGGTAATAGCTTAGAGGGACATTTTGAGAGCAAGAGCTTCGCTATTTGAATTGTATATTTTTGAAAAATTAGGGCTAAATGTGTACGAGCTAGTCTCCTTTTGTGTAACCAAGTCAAGACTTGGAAAGATGTAAACTAGTAGGGCATTTAATTATGTTAAACTCTTTTGTATCATTCATTTCATGAAATGAAGGGACTATTTACTCTGATTTGTGTTGTTATTAATAAATGTTTGAGTTGTATTTATTGTATTATTTTTTTGGGGCATTACATTCCGCAAATAAAGGAATTGCTTAAACAGATTCTTTGCTCTTTTCCATTGCGGAGCGACCTAGCATTACAGCAAGTGCTAGGCAACGAAGGGAGAAATTTGGTGAACAAGCCAAACGATCATTATAAAAGGTAACCTCACTTTTCTTGTTGAGGGATCGATCTCTTTACATTCTAGACATACTCGTACTCTCTATCTTTTCTCTACCAAACTCAGTACTGACTTGACTGTCGGAGGGTTTTCCAACCAACCCCCGATCGGGCAGCCTAACTGTTTGTTCCTTGTGCAGGCTTTCACCCATTGGTGCACTAGGGTTCATCTACGAAGTTTCATCTTACCTTATTGTGGAAACTAGTTTGCACAAGTATAAAGAGAGTGTACATAGAAATGAATTTTAAGTTAAGAATATAGAGTGTGTTTGTTTGGACGGATTGGATAAGGGGGGATTGAAATCCACCAGACTGTTAGTTTTGGGATATATTGTCCCCAGACTATTTGGTTGGATTGAATTTGTATCTCATGTTTGTTTAGCCATGTGATTAGATGACTATTTGGTTGGATAGTATATGAATCTTATATTTGTTTGAGATATGATTAGATATGTTTGTTTAGTCATGGGATTATATTTGTTTCAAATGACTATTTTACCATTTTCAATTATTTACAAAGTAATAGTAATATCAAACATATCTTTAATATTTTAATTATTTTTAATTAGATTAAATAAAAAAATTATTTTATTTTATTTTTTACACAATTAAATAAATTTATTTTTTTAAATTAAAAATTAAATAAATAAAATATCAATAAAAATATATGTTATTTTTTAAATTAAAATTTAAAATAAATTTATTTAAAAAAATAATAATAATTAAATAATGAAATTAAATAAAACATCTATTAAAATTTAAATAATGAAATTAAATAAAATATAAACAAAATTTTAAAATAAAATATCTATAAAAATTTATTTTAAAAAATTAAATAAAAAATCAATAAAAATTAAATAAAATTATTTTATTTTTAAATTGAGACATTTAAATTTTATTCAATTTTATTAAATATAATACATAATTAAATAGTAAATGGTCAAAATGGTCATTTCCCCACTTAATCCCATGGGATTATTATCCCATGAAAATTGTCCAACATATCCCTTCCGGGACAGTGTAATCCCACAAATGGGAGATAAGGAGTCCGGCCGGACTTCATGTTCAGCGAAAAGAAAAAAAAACCCCCAAAAAAGTTTAAAAAAAAAAAAAAAAGTCATTAAATAAGGAATTTCCAACAATATATTAAGATTCTCTCTTAATTCATATTTTTTTTTTTGGGGTTTCTTTGTTTGTTAGATTTAGACGATCCCTTCATTTGAAGCTAATAAATTGGCTAATATATATATATATTCCAAACACGAGCGATTGACGCTCCAGCAACGTGGTGCAGTTGGAGGGAAATCCATCCGACCGTTCATTTAACAACTTACGGTCTCGATTGCCTTCTCAATTCAATCCCATAGCAAAACCAAAATAGGGTGAAAAGAAAAGAAAAGAAAAGAAAGGGCGCAAAGTGAAGTTTTGTATATTAAAGAGATTGAAAACTGAAGAAGAAAGGAGGAGGACAACTTCTTCTAATGTCACCACAAAACTGCTCTTTCCTCTCTTTTTCTTTTTTTTTATTTGGGTGCTCTGAAACTGGTAGCTGTAACAGAGAGTCTTCTTCTTATTTTATAATCTTTTTCTCCATTTCCATTTCCATTTTCTGCTTTCTGGTGGGGGGTTTATACTATATGTATGTTAATTGGTTCTTGTGAATCTGGCTAACTTTTGTTGAATTTGGAGTTGTACTTGCCATAGATCTTGAGGTGGGTCACATATTTTCCTCTGCATATTGTTCTTTTTTCTTATTAATTTGTAATTTTTCTGGGAAAACTTGCTTGCAGAGGAAAGAGAGAATGGATAAGTTACAGTGGGGAAACAGAAAGCGCCTCCGTTGCGTCAAGGTCAAAGACTCCGTTTTGGACAAATCTGACGACGGTGGCGCCGGTGGTGGTGGTGCTGCTGCTGCTTTGAGGAAGAAAACCACCTCTCGTGTTGATCGACGAGTTGTTGTCGGTGCAGATAATAAACAACCCTATCTTCCTCCTCCTCCTCTGCAATCTCCTCATCGTCTCGCCAGGTAACTGAACAACCCACCTCAGAAAAGAACAGAAAAAAAAAAACAAAAAAAAAACAATTTAATTGTGATAAGATAATGCTCTTTTTGGCTGCAAAAAATGCTTTAAATAAATAAATAAATAAATAAAATTCCAACTTTGGATTGGGTAAAATCCTAGTTTTTGAGTGGCCAAAATGGAGAGTTAAAGATTAGATTTTGACAATGGTATTGTTTGGTTGCTGACAAGTGTTGGGAAATAGGAAGGAAAATAGGTCATGGTTTGGTCAGTTATTGTTAGATCCATACTACTTTTGAGCAGTAAAATGCCAGGGTTGAAGATATGTACAGAACCCAATAGGTTTTGCTGCAGAATCTTTCGGGGGTGTAGACAATAATGCTGTTTGATTGCTAAGGAAAAAAGTAGGAAAATAAAGGAATAATTAGATTCCCAAGTTCTCTCAGCAACCAAACAGAATAGATCTGTGAAACCCAAATAAAAAACAGAGAAAGAAAAAGAAGGGAAAATCAGATATTGAAGCTATAACTATTTTATGTGGTGAATTTTTGTTGGTTAAAGAGATTTGGGGATGAACAGATCGATGTTGAACGAGAATAGGAAGATATCAACATCATCCTCACCGGAGAAGGAAGATCGGTATTACACGACGAGGGGGTCGATTATCGGATTGGATGACAGCAGTAGTAAGTTGTTCATGGAGGCAAGGAGGGAGGATAATCATAATAAAGGAGTTGGAGGAGGAGGAGGAGGAGGAGGGATTGTTTGGCCTAAACTATATGTTACATTGTCAAGTAAAGAGAAGGAAGAAGATTTTCTGGCTATGAAAGGGTGTAAACTGCCTCAGAGGCCTAAGAAGAGGGCCAAGTTAATCCAGAAAACCTTACTTGTAAGTCCTTTTACATCACAAACAATTACTTCTTTTATTACTATTATTGAAGAATTTATATATTGTTTTCTGAATTGGGTTTTTTCTTTTAAAAATTCCTTGAGTTGTGCAGTTGGTGAGTCCAGGGGCATGGTTATCAGACCTTTGCCAAGAAAGGTATGAAGTGAGGGAGAAGAAGTCTTCAAAAAAGGTAATGATTTAGTAGTTATTTTTTTTCTTGATTTGTTAATATGCTATATATTCATTCATTCATAGATATATTAAAAAGAAGGGATATTGATTTGAATGTTGGTATTGGTGGGTGGATGCAGAGACCTAGAGGATTGAAGGCTATGGGAAGCATGGAAAGCGATTCAGAATGAGATTTTTTGAAAGAGAGATAGAGGAAGAGGGAGGGGAAAAGAAATGGAGTGGTCCCTGTTTATTGTAGGTTTTTAAAGAAATTGGAAATTGGTAATATCTATCCCACCAATCCAATCTAATTTAATCTTGGAAAACACATTTCTTCCATGTCTATTCTTTTTTATCTTTCTGGTTGATAGTGATGCTTTTCATGTTTGATGATGATGATGTTCTCTTGTTCTTTATTTCTTGGTTAAAATTAACGCAGAGGCCGCTAACCAAAGTTATGGAATTACTTTAATTTTAAGTTTTTTTATTTTTTTTTATTTTGCTGACTTTAATTTTAAGTTGTAATGATTAAATTTGACTATAGAAAAAAATGAAATTCTCCTCTGTTGAGCACCCTCATCTCTATCTCTCCCTCTTAAAGTTGAAGTTGTTGAAGTTGAAGTTGAAGTTGAATGTGAATGGGGCCTAGAGATTCGAGGAGGCGCGCTTACAAACACACACTGCGTCCCCAACGAACCCACTGAATGAAGCTCATGTAAACAAAACAATACATTACATTATATACATTGGGTGTTGCCTAAGGTCTCAACCTTTTTAGACCTTTCATTTTTTTTATTATAATTTTGTGCTTATATCAAATTTTACTTTGTTTCAATCACTATCCTCCCAAGCCTAACTTTAACCCTATCCCTAATCTCACTCCCACCGGCATCTTCAAGCGACCTTCTCCCTGCTGAAAACCACACCCCTCATTTTTCTCATTTGGCGAAACCTCTCTTCGTAGCAACACCCCTTTTCCTTTTGGCAACCCCCCTTCCTATTGCAACTCCCACCCCCGTCCTCTTCCAACCCAACTACTTCTCACAATCACGATGCCCATCCCTGTAACCTCGACCATTGCAATCTCTGCCCTTACGAAACCTACTCCCCGAGACCCTTTTCACAATTCAGTGAGCAACCCAGCCACTCGCTTGTCTCTACAACTACTTTCATTGCTATTCAAATAACCAGATTTGAACAAAGGTTGGTGTACGGTATTATGTAGCCAAACAAAGGGGATTTGTTCCAACATAGTCGCCCGGAGTTGGACAAAGAGCATCTATTCGGTTGTGGAGCATTGGACATATTCAAAAAATCAGCTTTGTATAGCTAAACGAAGAGAGATTGATAGGGAGAAGAAGAAGAAGAAGAAAGGAAGTTCGATCAGAGTTCGGGTTTTGAGGGTAAGGTGTTGGCGGAGAATGACTGAGAAGGTTGGTTGCGGTGGGTGGGTTGGGGTTAGTGGCGACACAACCGGAGGTGGTTGCTGATGTGGGAAATGGCGAGGAATAAGAGTTGTCCGAGTAAGTACTGGAAAAGGTGAGGGTGCAAAGAAAACGAGTGATGTTAGAAATATGGTGGGGGTCCAAAGCAATTCAAGGTGAGAGCACTTTGGGAAGGTGGGGGCTAAAGAAGTAAGGAGTCCAAAGTAAAAAGGTTAGGGTATTTAGCAACACTCATATATATATATATATATATATATATATATATATATATTATATACACAATTTAAATATTGATATTATTATACTAATGATGATAAATAATGTGGTAAATTATAAATACACTTTTTGAGATTTATTTAAAATACGAATTGTCTCATGTGATTTTGGAAATTACATCTTCCTTTGTGAAATTTTTAATTTCATAAAAAAATAAATCAATTAATAATTTTTAATGATGTTCAAAATTCATTTCAATTTTTAATTCAACTAATTTTATTTTATTATTATACAAGAGTGCATTTAAGAATTTTATTTTTTTTCATTTAATTTTGTTAATTCTGATATGGGAGTATTTATAATTTTTAAACCACATAGAACAATATTTTAAATGAATCTCAAAATGCCTCTGTTTGGCAAGATGGTTTTCAGGCTTTTTTGACTATTTTAGCCACAAAAAACAAAATAGGCTATTTTAGCCATAACAAACAAAACATCACATCCAACCCATAATCATTACATTCTTCTCTCACAAAAAAAGCCAAAAAAGCCAAAAAGCACTTCCCAAACCAAGCTTTTTAGCCCAGGCTAAAATAGCCAAAAACCCAAAAAGCCAACCCACTTCCCAAACGGAGGCAATGTGTATTTGTAATAATAATAATAGTAATAAAGCAAGAAGTGTTGACATTTTAAGGGTAAATTACACTAACAGCCCTTGAGCTTTCTATTAATATAAATTCCCACATATTTGAAAAATTATATTTCTCTTTTTGAGATATAATCTCATTACAAATTTTTCCTTGGATTGTTGATGTTATGTCTTAAAAATTTCTAAATAACTATCTTATCCTTTTCCTGTCATTTTGTTTTCCCTATTATTATGATTACATTCTACAACAATCCATCATTAAATTCTACCTGAACATATTTTTATTAAGTGATGATATACAAACATAAATTTTATATAAAATTTTCAAACACTATGATATAGCTTAATGGTGATCTTTTACTTTAAAACAAAACACCCATTAACATGATTTATATTTATAACAATATCGCTATCACAGTATTTATATGATATTTTTAATATAAATTTTTATTATGAATATAATTTTTCATTTTTATTTCCATCATCATATCTAGATTAGATCAATTTAATTTAGATATATTTAAAAAGTATAAAATTTGTACACAAAATTATATATATATAAAAAAAAATCTATTGAATATCTATTGAATACAACAAAATGAGATAATATATTTAATTTTTGTATTTTTGTATTTTTTTTGTATTTGGTGAATTTAAAAAAAATACAAAATATTATATTTCTTAAGTATATTTAGATTAGGTGTATCTAGAAATAATAAAAAAAAAAGCTTAAAATATTAAGAAAATTTAATAAAAATAAAAAAAAAGGAAAAATAAAAAAACTCTAATTTTTTGTGTTAGTTAAACCAAAGAAAATAATTGTTGTTTCTCTTGAAATGATATGAACAAAATATCTGCATTATTTTATATGTATAAAGGTTAAAGAACAAACATGTCATTTTAATATGATAGAGAGATAAGTGTAATTTTTTAAATATGAAAAAGATCTGTATTAAACAAAAATCTCAATTTGTATAATTTACCCTAATATTTTTAATTTTAATTTATTTTTGAGGAAGAAGGGGTCAACACTTCATTTGTGAGATTTGGTTTTCATCGTCACTTCACTATCCCTATAGTTGCTTGACAAATATTAAACGCTATAAATCACCTTATTAATTGGTTTGCTCATGAATTATTTTATAAAATAATAATAATAATAAAATTATTATTAAATATTCTTGGCATATTTACCATTTACACAAAAAAAAAAAAAAAACTTTTAAAAGGTTTATATATATATTTTTCAAGAATATAAGATTATCAAAAAAAAAGTGTGAGGATCAAAGTTATTCGCCTTGTTTGGTTTGATTTTGAGAACAACGCTGTTACACACCCCCACTGGGGGTCGACCCCTAGTGACGTAGCGGGCCTCCATTGGCCAGTTTTCTATTTTTTTTTTTTTTCTTTTCTTCCAATCCTGCAGTGCCACGTAGCACTGGGGTCGGTGGGGGTGGGGTTTACTGGGGGTCCGGTGCATTTTTGTTTTGAGAAACAAATTTTATATTTTTTCTTTAAAAAAAAATTGTTTGGTTTAGTTATTTTGAAAAAAAAAAAAATTTCAAAATCATTTTATATCTCTTACACATCAATCAATCACTTTTTCTCTCTCCTCTTTCATTTTCAATCATTTTTTCTCTCCCATACATTTACTCAACTACAACAAAATATCAAATCATCCCAAACTCCTATACTCCAAAACTATTTCCAAAATATACAATCAAACAAATCAAAAAAAAAAAATTTAAACTCTTTCCTAATTTTTTTAAAAAAAAATTATCTCTCAAAATCAAACCAAACACAACCATTATGTTTCTATTTCAATTGGTTTCAAATGTTTGAAGTTATAAAAATAAATAATCACATTCTTATTGATTCTTATTCCTTCAAGGCAAGAATAAGATATACTATTATAAACATTTGCATTATTACATATAAACTTGGCCTACATATAAACTTTTTTTTTTAGATAGTTAAAGGAAAGCAACTAGGAAACATTCAAAACATCACTCCATCCCCGAAGCTGGTCGAGATGAGCTTGAGTAGTGATGATACTGCTGATCCCTGGAGGGCAAGTCGGGTTGACCCACGCTTCCTACACCGTTCACTAGTCACTAAGCTCATTAGAGTACCTGCAAAAATGTCCAACGCGGAACGAGAGTCCCCAAGCGGACCCTTCGACGATCAAATTAGAAGAGAAAGAAATTGATGTGTGTAGAGAGAGAAAATAAGAATAGAGAACTTAACCCCTTTTTTGTGTCTTGGAAGCCTTCTTATATCCTTTGTCCAGCATTTCCTTGTCCATTCCGACCTATCGTGTTGGCCGAAAGTTTATACTCTAGCTTGCATTGTTCACGGTGAGGCTGCTCGTTCCGTCGTGAAGGGCTTACTGCATTTAATGCTGCAGGAGCCTCATTAATGGTTGATGTGTAGTGTAATAACTCTGCAGGATCTTTGTCTGCTTACACGGCTGGTTTCCTGTTTGACACATGTTCAGATGTCATTGGTTCCTAATTCAACTCTGGGTTCTCAAGGGTGTTGGGCTTTAGTGCTTGAGCTGTGAATTCGGCTCTAAGTAGTGGGTCAAAACCTTTTGTGAGCCCACCGATGTCAGTAATCCCCCATTTCCAAGTATAGCTTCAGTCCAACGAAGGGAATAAGAAGGAGGATGGGGAGTGTGCGGGGCCGAATGAGAGAGCCGACTGAGAGGAGAGTCGATCGCAAAGGGGGCCGAGTGAGAAGTGGTGGCGGCGCATGGGGCTTGAGGAGTGATGAAAGCACGTGATGAAGTGGAATATACAGGGAAGGAAAAAAAAGGATGGTGAATCATGGTTGTACACGTGGTATGATCCAGTGGTGAGGGATGTGATGCGTTAGTAGGAAGCGAAGAGTTAGGACTAGGATGGGACGTGGAAAAGGCAGGGTTGGAAACTGTCGAAATTTTCAAACTAGGGAAATTTAATCTCGATATTTGAGATATAGACAAATCGTGGGCATTTGGAGTTATTTGTTTTACATATCTCTTTGCGAAAAACCAACACATGGCTTGAAGCGAAGCGCCAGCCATGAGGCTAGAGGCATTGGGTGAA